AAAACAACTTCTGCTCCTTTCTACTCGGCAATCACGATCAATTTCCCACACTGCTATCCTCCGGAGGAGAAGGATGAATGGGCATTCAGGAAATGTAGCCTGGCCGACAAGCAGTGTCCCACCCATCCGCCTTTTTCATGTGGAGGCAAGCATTTCTAATTTTATCACCACCACCGGATTATAAAATGACTGATGTGCTGCCGAGTACTACGAGCTAACAAACCGCAGAAGCCTGTGCTACCAAGTAGGATGTGGGGCTTATCGAGGGAACTTCAGAGTTAACCTTGGGTGTTTTACTCTTGCTTCACCTGCCACCTGCTCTTGAGCATGTTCTGTTTAAAATAAGAGATCAACAGGTACAAAACTACTGATCAATCAGCTCTAGGGAAAGGCACTATTCCTGGAGTATCCCTCAGATCTTAGCACTGAGTTAGTAAGAAGGTTTAAGGTTTGTTTGTTTTTTTAAAATTGGGTCTAAAAGTCGCTATTGTTCCCGGATGAGCATCAGTTTCAACTGTTTGAAAATAGTTTTTGTTCTTTTAACCTTAACATATGATCATAAAACAGGACACATATGTACTTTTGGACCTTCGCTTATCCTTTGATGAAGCCAGACACACACATTCATACAGCCCTTTTCCTCTCACACACCCACATCTGCTCCCTTCAGTCATTACCATGTGTTTAACATGTAACATTAAATCTTTATCTTTGTAAAAAGCATGCATCGAACTTTCACCAGCAGATCTGTGCATGTTTCCGATTGGCCAGGTACTGCTAACGTCACCCCTCTTTCATTTGAAAGTGTTGGCAGCTACATTGATAAACCCTGAGTAGACTTATCGAGTCGATAACCAGCTTCTTGTGACAGTTTGACTGGTAATGTTACAATAAGTGAGACCTGATAACAGAAAGATGTCCTGGGTATGGTGAACTGGCTTCGTTTTACAGGATCCAGGTTAGTGACTCTGCTACATTTATTGCTCAGTGAAGTACTGCCAGGTATGGGAAAATCTATCTGCCCCTAATTATATTCCTGAGTGTAACCCAAGGGAAAAGCTGAGTGGTGGGTATAGACGCACTTCTGGGTTTGTAGGTCATAATAACAACTGCGGCTTCTCTTTCTCTCGCTCTCAACAGCAGGTTTCAACAGGTCGGCTCAGGAGGATCGCGAAAATAACAAACCACTGCTCCCTCCCTGTTTCTACTAAGGCGGATCACAAGCACAGACAAAAGGATAGTGGGCTCGAAAGAAAATCACTAGTTTAAGGCTTCCTGAATCTAATTGACACAGACCATCCATCAGAAAAAGAATAATCACTGCTGCCAGACAAAATAGAGAATAATTGGGCCACAATCCCCCCAGGAACACAAGTCAGACTCCTTTTTGAATACAGAGCCAGCAACGCTTCTGGTCTCTAGATTCTTACGATGACTGCTCAGAATGTTTAAAGCCCACAGCACAAGCTCCCGTGGGGAGAAACCTGTTGTGTTTATGCTGATTTCTAAGTCCTGGTTAACTTACTCCAATTAAGAAAATCACCCTAAACTCATGTGGTAACAATGATGATGCTGCAAGTAAATAAAAATGTCACTGCAAAAAGAAAAACAGTCAGGAACCACTCACTTCAGTGGGCTGCTTTAATGTAATGTGATCATTTTATAATGGGAAAGTGAGAACAGGAAACCAGGTTTATAATGAATAAAAAAAAAAGTCTATCTCACCGCTCGTGTCCACCCGGTGACCGTGGGAGTTGAACCACTGAACGCTGGGGAATGGGTCTCCAGTGACATTGCAATCAATCAGTGTACAGCTCCCCTCTCGGGCAATTATCTGGCTCACGCTTGTGAACACAGCGGGGACAGATCCTTCGTCTGTCGTGTTACCGGTTTCCGTGTAGTTTCCGTCTGCGTTAAGCTGTGAGGCCCCGGCAGTTTGCGAGGTGACAAAGAACACCAGGACCAGAAAAACGAATCCACCGGCCCAGTTCATTTTCTCTAGCTGAAGGTTTGTTACCCAAGGGGGATGAAACTGTCATTCCTCCAGGGACTCCATCCTGCAGACTGGCTATCTCGTGATGCTTGAGGGTAATTTGGTATTCAGCTCAGGTCCATGAAGCATCTCACTGGAGCAAGAAAGTGAGGGCATGCAATAATTAGAGACAGCCCAGGAACAAACAAATAATAATCAGATGTTTTGATAACTAGAACTCCAACCATAGGTTAATACACTTCTGTGAGACAGGATTACGTTTTTACATTTGAATTTTGTTCACACAAAGATCTAATATCTAAAAGTATCCATTTACAATTACACTATAAGGACAAAAGTACTGGGCCACCTGCATATTGCTCCTACAAGAGCTCCTTGGCCTCAAAGCTCCCAGGGCAGTTTTTGTGCTGATGTTAATGCCTATGCCACATCCCTCAGCGACCCCACTCCGTAACTGTATCTGGGACTTTGTGGGTGAGTTGCTGTGGTTCCTAAAGGCTCCCACGTTCCAAAAACACCACTCAGGGTTGATTTTAACCACCTGAATTCAAAGATTATGAGGTGTGGCCCAGCACTTTGTTTTATATACACTATGAAGAAACGCACTCCATGTTTAATAACCTGCAGCAGATTCTGTTTCTGTGCTAGATTTAAAGTGACAACAATCTTAACCCTGCAACCTCGCAGTTACTTCCCCTACACTGCGTTCTTATTCCGGTAAATACCATATTTTTGACCACTGCTGCTGTTATACTATTACACTAATCGCCCATTTCCTTTGTGTCTCGCAGGGTTAACGGTATCTACTGTTCAATCAGCTTTCACTGCAATAAACTGCATCCGCATCTGAGTCAGTCACAAAGAAATCCACTCGAAAACACCGTTAAATGTTCATTCATAGACTTCAAAGTTAGCGACATCAAACGGCAGCATTTTTGCTAGTCTGAAGCTGACATCGAGCTAATATTCCAGCTAAAGGCTGGTAGTGTTACATCAGACAGATATAACGCACATAGTACAGCTTAACAACAACTACGATTAACAATGTTTTTTAACGTTTTATCCATATAAGCAGCCTTGCTTTGCGTTACAACCGCATCTTTGGGCTCGATTAGTATGAAAATAAAGGGAGACTGCCACATAACGGAGCTGTGTGTGGGCTCCGGCTATTTTCCGCTGTCACACGTAAAGTCCCGATGAAAATAACGTTACCTACATTACTTTATCAATTAGATAGAATACAGATATGTCAATGTGGATATTAGTCATGTGTAGTTGAGCTGTTAAGATTTTAAACTGTGCTTGAGGATAAAATAAAATAAAACAAGGGCGTGGGACCCGGCTACGTGCTGGACAGCTGATATATGTATGGGGACCCTTCCAGAACTGTGCCACCGCAGACTGTTTACACGGGACGAGGGTTCATTTCATGTATCGCTACAGTTAAATTGTCAACGTTACTGGACCAAAAGAGGAGAAACAAATAGCTGAAAAGACACCGGGTAATGCTGCAACGTTACCTCCTCGGCGGAGAGCCAAGCGGTCCAGCAAACCGGTCAACTTACCGTTGACAACGGCAGCGGCGGCGGATAAACGGTCCTAAAAATGGCAAAATCCGCGACTCTCCCGCTAATAAAACTCGGGCTTCATACTCACATCATGGTCGGCCGCTGTTTCACCTCGAAAGTTCGGTAGAAACTACCATAGTCGGCGGTTATCGCTGTGCTATTTCTGCTCGGGCATCATCGTCCTCCTCCTCATCGGACCGCTGACAGCTCGCTCTGCAAACGACGACGACTGAGCTGCTTCAAGGCACGGAGGGAGGCAACGTCGCCCAGTTGCTTGGGTTGCCCTGCCTCTACAGATGGCTGCCAGACTCAAACTGAATTCTCACTTTATACAATAAAATAATATTTGTGACATGGTTTCTATAACTTAATCCATTTTAACATTCTTTTCTTGATTTTTGATCACGTGGGGTGCGCAGAGGGTGGGGAAAATGCAACACATGAACAAATAGTGGTGCAGTGCAATACTGCAAATTTTGGTGTCGATCTCATACCGAGTAAATACAGGGCCAGTACTGCCGATGCTTTCAACTTATCCAAACCATCACTAAACCTGTTTTCTGGAACGCTTTCAGGTGACCTCTTATGCTCTCTGGTTAATTTATTAGCAGCTTACACCAGGCAGGGAAGATATTGGAAATTATGTTAACTTGAGCTTGAGAAGTTAAACCACAAAAAGCCACAAGTTAATACACAAAACAGGTTTTAAAAAAAAATAGATTTTTTTTCATTTAATTAAAGATTAAGCATCCTGGTCTGATTTAAAATGATACTTGTGTTTAAATGGTTTACTTTCAGATAGATCAGACAAACCTAGACACACGAGGTAAGATATTAAATGGAAGCTTTAATACACAACACACCTGTGAGCGTCAGTGCTGGAGCCTGGTTTATCCTTCCTCACACAGGCTATAACTGCTGCATGTTTATGCAGCCCGGCCTCCAGACTCCCACGAGGACAGAAGTAAGGTCTGAACAGCTTTCCAGTGCAAAAGACTGATAACCTCGCTCACATAAAGCCTTGTGGCATTTAATAGCATGGCACACTAAGTAGGTTATTTTGTGCATGTCTGCATTACAGCGTAGGCCTATAGTAAGAGGTAAATGGGCTGTGGTGAAAACACATTCTAAAAGGCCGTTCAATGAAAAGACTGTATGTGGATCACAGTGCCAGCTTCCTTTTGAAACAATTAAAGGCAGAATAAAGGCTGCTCTAAATTTAGACCCGGCCAGGGTCATTCAGCCTGTACAGGCTGTTATTCTGTTTACCAGGCCTGATAAAAGGAGACCCTGAAGCCACAGCGCGAGTCGGGGATTGACGTTATATGCCACAACCTCAGTAGGCAGTCAATAATTAAGTCAATGCTTCATATAGAAGCTGTGGAGGTTAAGGAGGTGGTGTGTGTTTTAGCTGGTGTGGAAGGTTGTTTTTATTGTTTCAAAGTAAAAACAAAACAAAAGTTTATACAGTAACTTTAAGAGAATTTCAACTTTTCTGCTCTAGAGATGATTTTGGTGCTTTCATCCATTTCTGTGTTAATGTTTCACATTCTACCAAACAAATCTGGGGCACTGCTTCGGTTTTAAAGTTACTGTTGACTGAAACACATTCAAAGAGAGACCTCTTCACAGTTGCTCCTCTTCAGTTGTTGTTCAGATTTCCATCCTGGTATCTACAGAAATCTTTGCATTCAAATTTGAACGCTTCATCCACGACTGCAGTGAGAGGGTTAAGTGTTAACAGTCTTGTATCTAAGCCACCTCGCTGACCCCGTCCTCCTTTCCAGATGAATGTTTGAGCTGTACACAAACACTTCAGGCTGCTACATATTAACACAGCAGGGGCAGAAAGTCTGTACAAAGGAGAAGAAAACAGTTCCCACCAAACAGATGGACCCTGTTGTTGCTGTTGTCAGCAGGTGCTGTTATGTGAGAGCCAGCAGACTTTAGAAAAAAGGATGAAGAGGAAGACGAGTCGGTGCTGAATTGTTCATGACTTCACCTGAACCTGACCAGCTCTCAGGTCGACTTCCAAACTAATGTGCTCTTTATGCCACAAGTGTTGCTGGAGTTCTGCCCCATTATAAGACAAAAACTCATCTCATGTGAAGAGTTACTGGTTTCCAGGCTACTGAGAAAAAGCTCTGCATCACAAAACCTGCGCAGCAATCAGACAAAACAATTTATAGAGTCACAATGACTATATACATAATATGCACACTAAATTTAAAAGATAATGTAATGATATCAAATGTTGCAGACAGGAAATAAATAGTGCCATATTTTTTTAAAAAAAAAGCTGAGGACTGAGAAGGCTTTCACTTTAGGGGTGGTTGCAAGTCAGGTTGTAGCACAGGTCACCTGTTAATGGGAAGGTTGGTGATTCAATCCCTCCACTTTGCATACCAAATATCCTTGGGCAAGATACTATCCTCAAGTTGCCATGGATGTGTGTGAATGTTAGCTAGAACAAGCGTAGAAAAAAGCACTGGTGTGAATGAGGCAAGTTTTCTAAAGCGCTTTGAGTGCTCAGAGTAGAAAAGCACTATGTAAGAACCACACCAATTACTTTGTAAAGTGAAATCAGATCAGTCCACCTGCAATATGATCTGATTTTATCATCTGCACCAACCCCTGAGCAGCAAACTACTCAAACAGACTCAAAAAAATACAACAAAATACAAAAGGTAAAAAGTCCTTACTTTATTTCACAGATGAGATAAAACCATGTTCTCATGCAGTAATGAGTTTGTGTAGCCATTGTTCATTATACAGCAGTAAGGCTGTGTCTGCCATGTTTGCCCTGGTTTGGGTCCCAGGGGTCAGAGTTTCTTTAGAGGGTTTTTAATGTGTTGGATATTCTGATCCTCTTACTTTGAGGTTGCTGCTGTGCTGAGGTTTCGATTCAGCTATGTGGTGCTTCAGGCCTTGCTGTATTCTACTTTCTTGGAGTTGAGTCCTTGCTTTTTCTTTTTCTTTTTTTTTTACGTGTTTTCAGTTCCTAGTTTTAGTTTATTTATGTTTAGTGTTTTCAGGGTTTCGTTTTCTGTTCCTCCCTCCACCTCCGCCTTCTCCGTTTCCCTTTGTATTACTTACTTGCTTGAATGTTTCAGCATGAAAGTGAACCACTTTCATAGTACAGAAAACTCAGGGCTAACCTTGAAGTTACCCAGATAAACCTAAATCCTGCTTTGTAGCAGAGGCCTCTGGTTTACTTTAAAATAATTATATCAAGAACTGTTAAGATGAAGCTCTCTGACTTCATGATGGACCAACCAGGTCTGATTCCTTGATGTTCCTGGTTCATTGTGCGTTCAGCTCCTTGAAGTATTTTTATTTTCTTTCCCAGAAAATAAGAGGACTTTAATTCTAACAAATGAGCCTGACTGCCCTTCTTGTTTTGAGGTTATCTGTCATTACTAAAGAAAGCCAAGACACATTAAATCTGTTCGTCCTTAAGCTTAAGAACAGAATACAAAAGATTTTAGATGATGGCACTAAGGCTGTGTCTGAAGTCCTGATAAATGTGCTCAGTTAAAGCTGATCATTTGTTCCTGCTCGCTAAGGAAGGGATCATTTTTCTTCTGGAAAATGATCTGTTTGTTAACATGAATTCATCCCAGAGATTATGACGTCTCTGTGATGGGTGATGGTTAGATTTGGAAAAACTAGATTTAGAAGAACTTCATTAAGCGTTTAGGGTGTGCTGTACCGATTTCTTGGTCTGCTAAACAAACTCTGAGCTGAGGAAGGCGGACATCACTCAAATGATCAGATACCTTCTTCACCCGGTCAGCACACCTATAGTTTTTTTCTGTGTAGGTCCTGATTTGGGGCTTGTAACACTATAATTTTGACAGTCATAAGAACACACTATTAAATCTAAACTAAGCCCTTCAACCACATATTTAAAAAATCCTGCATCTGCTAAGGACGAATAAGCCATCACAAAGCCTCTTTGATGAGCGCAGAGAGTCTTTTGAAAGCCTGGTGGGGAAAGAAATACGAGATTAGATTGAGTTGTAGAGATTGTATGTGTTTATCTGGTTGTTTATCCATTTGTTTACCTCATCAATCTGCTCCGGTGTGCTGAGAGAAAAGGCCGCTCTGACGTAGGGGCAGGGCTCACTACTGTTGATCATGAACACACCTCCAGGAACTAGCAGGACCTGTAACACACATAAACATGTATCACCACAAACAATCTCAAAACCTCTTCCCACATCCAGTTTTTACACAGGGAATAAAACATATTACATATTGTCTTTTCCTACATTAACCCCAGCCAATCTGTGTCTTGAGCTAACATAAAGCCAGGCAGGTCACCAGATTTTACTCTAAATGATAAAAATTACAATCGTGTCCGCCTAAGTCCAGAAAATTAACGGACTTTGTACTGAATTATTGTATAGTATTGCGTTTGCTAATACCTCAACTAATAAAGCTTACATTAGCTTTCTAGCAGCTCACTGAGTAAAATGACAACTTTGTGATATATTTTAGTTTCTGCAGGCTTTTTGTTAGGATTTCAGGTACTGGTTACAAACTGTGAGGCCAAATGTTTCCCTTTATGCCAGGTTGTGTCACCGTCGTATTTCTCTCTGTTTGGTAACCTTTAAAAAAAAAAAAAAATTTACTATTTGTGGCATTATTCATGTGAAGTGAGAGGAACACTAGGAATAACTTCCAGGATATCCTCCATGTTTGGTCAACATCCTGTCTTCTCTGTCTCTGATAACCAGCTTTCTCACCATGATATAGCGGTTTGGATTGGGTATAAATATTCTGGTATCTGTTTAGATCTCACAGGTTGTAAACTGTTCCCCGTGGCATTTATGACAGCACTGAAAGACTCATTTTAGATTCAGCTGCGCATTATTCCTCCTCTGTCCAATGACACAGTGGCGTTATTATCTGCTGTATGAAGGCTTTAAATGCTCAGGACTCAGAGGACACGAGCCTGCTGTGCAGAGGCCTTGGAAAATCCCAATTGTACCCACTCTTGTTCATACACAGCTAATTCAGTAGCATGGATTTACAGACACACTGTGTGTGAGTGTGTGTGTTTGTGAGGAGATGTTTTGCACCAAGGC